TTGTTCTGCATCATGTCCCACAGGCATGATGAATTGCAGTCATCCTCTAAGCCAGGGCTTTTCAACCTTTTCACCCATTGTACCACTTTTCGGATATGGCAACATCCGAGTACCACCAGTCGCCTAGCAAGGCGTCAAAAACTTGATGACCCCCCCCCCAAAAAAGGAAAAAGTGATAAAGTACAGATAGTCCTCGACTTACAACAGTTCGCTTAGTGACTGTTCGAAGTTACAATGGCACTGAAAAAAGTGCCCCCCAAGCCACAGCCGAGCAAGACACCTGCCTGCCTGCCCGCCCGGCGGCGCTCTTCCTCCTGTCCGAGGTTTTCATTGTTGTAAGCATTTCTGTTGAGGATTAGCAGTGGGGATGGAGTGGGGGGGGTGTTTGGTTTTTATTCCCCCCGTCTGCTGGGTGGTTGCAGCAGGTTTTGGTCACTTCACATGACCCTGGGATACTGTGACCGTCATAAATATGAATCAGTTGCCAAGCATCTGAATGTAAATCACAAGACCCTGGAGATGCTGCAACATTCCAGCTGATCGGTGCTTCTTCTGGGCTCAGCAGAAGCGCCAGGATCAGCACCAAGCTCCAGCTGGAGCCTGGCGCTGATCCTGGCGCTTCCACTGAGCCCTGACAGTCCTGAAGAAGTGCTGATCTTGGCGCTTCCGCTGAGCCCTGGCAGCCCTGCAGCTCCAGCCGTCTCTCGCTCAGGCTTGTGCGGTGCTGCCACCGGTTCAGTTCATTCCCCTCCCCCGCTACCACTTTTCTAGGATGGTCGCGTACCACCTGCCAGGTGCCAATGTACCACAGGTGATACCCGTACCACTGGTTGAAAAGCCCTGCTCTAAGCAGCCCCAGGAAACCTAAAAACGGCAGGTTTTGATCAAACTTGGCTGGGCCTCAGTCATTCCACCTGCAGCAAGGGCACAACTGAGGGCCAAGTGCCGGACTAATACAGGTAGTCCTCAACTTATGACCAGAATTGAGCCGAAAATTTCTGTTGTTCAGCGAGACGTTTAAGTGAGTTTTGCCTCATGTTACGACTTTTCTCGCCAGAGTTGTTAAGTGAATCACTGCAGCTGTTAAGTTAGAAACTCAGTTGTTAAGTGAATCTGACCTCCCCATTGATTTTGCTTATGAGAAGGTCACAAAAGATGATTGCATGATCCCGGGATACTGCAAGTGTCATAAAATACGAGTCAGTTGCTAGTCGTCTGAGTTTTGATCATATGATCATGGGGGTGCTGCAATGGTCATAAGTGTGAAAAATGGCCATAGGTTACTTTTTTTCAGTGCTGTTGCAACTTTGAACAGTCACTAAACAAATTGTAACTGCCCCCATTGAGGACTTCATGTATAGATGTGGTTTTGAGAGAGAGAGAGAGAGAGAGAGCGAAAGAGAGAAGGAGAAAGAGAGAGAAGCAGAGAGAAAGAGAGATTTATGTGCTCACCTAAATAAATGGACTGTTCAGATGTGTTGAACTTAAGCTCCTATTGCCCCAGGCTAGCTTGAGATGGCTATCAGACCAGGATAGATAGATAGATAGATAGATAGATAGATAGAGAGAGAGAGAGAGAGAGAGAGAGAGAGAGAGAGAGAGAGAGAGAGAGAGAGAGTACTTTTTTTGTAAAAAAGAAAAAAGAAAAAGGTGCCCGAACTCACACACGTCATACACGCCTTGCCTACCCTACAAGGTTCCATCCAAAAAAGGTGCCGGAACTCCGTTCTGGGCATTCTATGACAAAAAAAGCCCTGGGTAGGTAGGTAGGTAGGTAGGTAGGTAGGTAGGTAGATAGATAGATAGATAGATAGATAGATAGATTGATCGATATAGATAGATAGAGATTGATCTATCTATCTATCTATCTATCTATCTATCTATCTATCTATCTATCTATCTATCTATCTATCTATCTATCTATCTAATCTATCTATCTAATCTATCTATCTATCTATCTATCTATCTATCTATCTATCTATCTATCTATCTATCTATCTATCTATCTATCTATCTATCTATCTATCTATCTATCTATCTATCTATCGAGAGAGAAATGTCCAAGAAACCATTAGCTCAGTGTTCCTCAAACTTGGCAACTTTTTAAGTTGTGTGGACTTCAGCTCCCAAAATTCTGCAATCAATCATGCTGGCTGGGGACTTCTGGCAGCTGATATCCACCCAACATAAAATTGTTAAGGTTAAAAGCTGTTAAGGCTGATTTAGATGTTAACTGGACATGGGAGCATAAATTGCTTCTTTGAAAACCAATGTGAGTGTAGCTGGCCGTGCTGGTTTGAAACCCGTTTCCCCGCAACTCTTGCTGTGTTTTTCATTTTTCTTTTTAATAGTTTAAAAAGAAAACCTTACAAAGCCCATGTATCTCTCTCTCTCTGAAAGGAACTGGAAGCTACCATTCCAAACAGACCTACTAGAGAGCGGGACTCCTTGATCTCCCAGGGAATTATTTCTGAGCAAACAAGGCTAGAATAACTTTGCTCCTGTGGTTCAAAGCAGGGTGGGTTTAAAAAAAATAAAAAATAAAAGTTAGGCAAACTGTGCTGTGTTTACAACAAAAGTTCCTGAGCCACTTGGTATTATTATGAGGTTTGCTTTTTTTAAAAAAATAGATGCATAAAGAAAGGGAAGTAGCATGCCACGAAGCAAAGCACCAATTTTGGTTATTTCCTTGATTCAAGGTCTCCAAGCATGACAGCGATCATCCTGCATTCATGGAACTAAAAATGGTGGGTGGGTAGAGCTGGTGCTTTTTGCAAAACCAGCCATCCAGCCTCATTGCCCCAAGCCAAAAGTAGGTAGCTTGTTCTGCTTGTTTGGTTTTTATGATGTATTCAGATCGATGGCAACTTCCTGAACTAAGTCCCTGCAGTTTTCTTGACAACTTTTTCAGAAGTGGGTTTACCCTTGCCTTCTTCCTTGGGTTGAGACAGAGTGGCTGGCCCCAGGCCATTCCACTGGCTTTAATAATAATAATAATAATAATAATAATAATAATAATAATAATAATAATAATAATAATAATAATAATAATAATAATAATAATAACAACAACAACAACAAAACAACAAAACAATAATAATAATAATAATAATAATAATAATAATAATAATAATAATAATAATAATAATAATAATAATAATAATAAAGTTGGAAGGGACCTTGGAGATCATCTAGTCCAACCCCCTGCTCAGGCAGGAATCCTACACCATTTCAGACAAATGGCTGTCCAGTCTCTTCTTAAAAACCTCCAGTGTTGGAGCATTCACCGCTTCTGGAGGCAGGTTGTTCCATTGATTAATTGTTCTAACTGTCAGGAAGTTTCTCCTTAGTTCTAGGTTGCTTCTCTCCTTGATTATTTTCCATCCGTTGCTTCTCGTCCTGCCTTCAGGCGCCTTGGAGAATAGCTTGACTCCCTCTTCTTTGGGGCAGCCCCTGAGAACAACTAGAATTCCTGCTCTCTCGGATTCTAGCCGGATGCCTTAACCCAGTTATTTCCCAACTTGTCATCTTTTAAGCAATGTGGACCTTAACTCCCAGAATTCCCCAGCCAATATGGCTGGCTGAGGAATTCTGGGAGTTGAAGTCCGCACATCTCAAAGTTACCAAATTGAAAAACACCGCCTTAACCACTGCCTCAAATTAGCTCAAACGTAGTTTGGGTAAGGAAAAAAAATCTGGAGGCACAGTGGAAGGAAGAATTGGTGATGGGGTGCAACCTTATCGGATTACTTTACAGAAAGTAAACTGGTAGTTTGAACCCTAGTAAAAAGGTCTCTCTTTGCTGTTAACCACATTTTGCTCTGTTGAACTAAGATTAGCAAAACTAGAGAGGAACCTTTTAAGAGGAAGTTGACTTTTACAGCCCCCCCCCCCCAAATTTAAGGGGAGGATGGCGGAAAAGATGATTGGCAGTTCCCTCCCTTCCATCCAGGACATGGCATATAAACGTTGCTTGAGCAGGGTCCGCAGGATTGTCTGGGACACTACACACCCTCTTCACAACCTGTTTTCCTGGTTACCTTCTGGGAGGAGGCTCCGTGGTATCTGAAGCAGAACATCCAGGTTCAGTCACAGTTTTGTTCCGTACAGTATCGACCTTGTGGACTCTCAAGCTTCCTCTTTCCGCTATGTATTCAAGATGGACAGTAATTAATATGTATATGCAGTGCTTTTTTTGTAAAAAAAAGAAAAAAGAAAAAGGTGCCCGAACTCACACACGTCATACAACCCACCTTGCCTACCCTACAAGGTTCCATCCAAAAAAGGTGCCGGAACTCCGTTCTGGGCGTTCTATGAGAAAAAAAGCCCTGTGTATATGTATTTATATGTAAGGGTTTAGGTGTATACATGCATAGGTACATAGCATGTTTATATATGTGTGTTACGTATGTGTACACTTTTTGAGAGCGGGCAACAGAATTTCATTTTTAATGTGTGCCAATAAAAAAAACGAAAATAAAGGTTGTCTTATCTTAAAAAAAATTAAAAGCTGTGCTCACATTTGCACTGAGCCAGGACATTCACTGAATGGCCTCCACCAGTTAATAATAATAATAAAGTTGGAAGGGACCTTGGAGGTCATCGAGTCCAACCCCCTGCTCAGGCAGGAAACCCTACATTTCAGACAAATGGCTGTCCAGTCTCTTCTTAAAAACCTCCAGGGTTGGAGCATTCACCACCTCTGGAGGCAGGTTGTTCCACTGGTTAATTGTTCTAACTGTCAGGAAGTTTCTCCTTAGTTCTAGGTTGCTTCTCTCCTTGATTAGTTTCCACCCATTGCTTCTTGTCCTGCCTTCAGGCGCTTTGGAGAATAGCTTGACTCCCTCTTCTTTGTGACAGCCCCTGAGATATTAGAATACTGCTATCATGTCCCCCCTTGTCCTTCTCTTCATTAAACTAGACATACCCAATTCCAGCAACCGTTCCGAATAAAAGTTATTCTCTTTAAGTTGCAACCGTCTATCCTTCTCCAGGTAGCCATGGTGGAGGTACAACTGGAAGACTACGACTACCCATGGCAGCTGCTGGTGGCCTTCAGTGCCTGCACGACGGTGCTGGTGGCCGTCCATCTCTTCGCTCTGATGGTCAGCACTTGCATCTTGCCCAACATCGAAGCCGTCAGTAACATCCACAACCTCAACTCGGTCAACGAGTCCCCCCACGAACGCATGCATCACTACATTGAGCTGGCCTGGGGCTTCTCCACGGCTTTGGGGATCTTCCTCTTCCTTACCGAAGTGGTGGTGATCTGCTGGGTCAAGTTTATGCCTGTCGGCAACATGGGGACGAGCAGGAAGTGCTGCGCTCCAGAGCAGCTGCAGGACGGGAACGCCACGGCCCCTGCAGACAGCTCTGGCTGGAACGCTGCCATGGCCTCCACGGTGATTATGGTTCCCGTCGGCATCGTGTTCATCATCTTTGCTTTGCATTTCTACCGCTCCTTGGTGGGGCACAAAACCGATCGGCACCAGCAAGAGCTGGAGGAACTTAACCAGATCAAATATCAGTTGGACGGAGAAGCCACGGCTCTGCAAGTGGTGTGAACTGGCAGCCTCAGTTGAACTGCAACTGCCGTGAACTTTGAGAAAGAGCCCCGCCGTCGTCCCTTTTATCCTTGTGTTTTCTGTCTCGACGGAAAAACTGTTAAGTAACTGCCGCGGTTGGAATTTAACCCCAAACCTGTGTGATGTTGATGTCGCTCCACAGTCTCCCAACATCCAACGACATTTGTTTGCCTTTCCTAGGAGACAATTTTCAAGCCCAGGGCACGTTGTTGAAATGGGTTGCTCCTGAAAAGCAGGGAGTGAAATCTAGGGGAGCTTCTCCATTTGGTGGGTTTTTGATCGTACAATAAAATGTTTACAGTAGGCAGTTGTTGGGGGGGAAAGAACAGCTTTGGTCTCCCCAGCTTTGGTGAGACTGTTGCTTTGTCCTCTTAAAGATTTCAATTTTGTTTTTTTCTGCAGAACTGGAGAAGACAATCAAAGGGTCTTTGGTATTTCTGATTATTTCAACATGGGTGGGTTTGAAAAGGTTAATGCAGCCCATTCGTTTTGCCGTTTGCTTCTCTTCCCATCTCTGCATCTGGAATGGTGAGAGTTCACCAACCAAGATTGGTTGGGCTGACTTTTGAGCAGGTGTTCAAACCGCTGCGCCCCAAGAAAGGGGCCTAACTTCGTGGCCTAATTTTCTGAAGCTGATCTCCTCTTCAGCTTTCACTGTGCAGTTCCCCTCGTGGCTTATTTGACAATTAATCTGAAAACATCCGGTACCAAACCTTCTGATCAATTTGATGGATTAAAGGGGCTAGGAAATACTTGCATCTTTGATTCGGCTTTGTAAATCCAGTTTTTTCCAGTTGGTCCCTTTCCCCCTTCTTGGGACCCCCCCCTAAATCCCACAGTCCCAGGCAGAGCGTTTGATCTAGCTAACACATCTGGAAGGCACTAGGATGGAGAAAGCTGTGCTCTAGCTAGTCTTTTGCATGCACTCTGCACCATTCCTCAGACGCTTGTTTGCTTACCTCTATGGAAACCTGGCATCAGTTTTGGATCATTGTCAAGAGTTGGGGTCAGTACAGAAAGTTGGACTTCTGACTCAGGAATTCCTGGGACATGCATATTATCCCCATATATGTGCTTTGCCCCCAGTCATAAATTGCCTGGTCCTCCCCAGGGATCCCTATTTATAGAGAGAAAGTCACACAGTATCTAGGGGGGACAGACTGCTTGGCTCCACTGGGAGATGGCTTCGTTGCTTGGTTTTTGTGTTTTTTTTCTTCAAAGAAAGAAGCAGACTATTGGGGTGTGGTAGAAGTTAAATCTAAGTCCAGTTTAAGAACTTGGGGGAGGTAGGGACAGGAGCTTGCTTGCCTCTTGTGTTTTCTTTCAAGAACAAAACTAGCTGATTTGGTGTCAGACCTTGATGGGGAGAGCTCCCGAAACGTTAAAACCAGGCTGATATCTTCTCCTTCTCCATCTTCCTCAATTTCCTGTCCTGCACAGATGTGGACCAGCTTCTTATCTCACGGTTGAAGATGCTGACAGCTGCGGTTGAAGACAACTAGGAAATGTGACAGTTCTAGAAGGCTATGCCTGTAGTAAGAAAGTTAAGACCAAGATATCACAGGCAGCTCTTTATCAAATATATTGCAAAACATGCCTACGGGTCTTTATCAAAGGGGCAGCCACAGTGGAAGCCGGTTTCCTGCTGAACAGGAAGTGGGGCAGCTGAAGCCTTTGGTCTTCAGCTGTTCGTCTCGTCAGGAATGCTCAGATGTTTCCCCTTAGCAGTTCTGCTTCCTTAGAATAAGGAGCCGCATGGACCCACCTCTTTATTTTTTTTCTGGGAGCCAAAGTAGTTGGGAGACAATTTGGGAAGACGGGAGAGAGATTTTGGAAGGGATAAAAAAAACAACACGCCGTTTCGCCATCATGGATTTCTACAGCTGTTTTACCGGAGAAGAAAAACATACCTTCCGGATGTGCGTGTAGGAAGATGGGAAGGGGGATCAAAGCAGAATTAGGCGTACAGGGAAGCCCAGTTGACATGCCCAGGAACTGCAGGTCAGTGTTTCATTTGCCAACCTCGGCAACTTTTTAAGAGGCATGGACTTCAACTCCCAGAATCCCTCAGCCGGCACGGCAGGGTGAATTCTTCCATTCTGGGAGCTGACGTCCCCGCATCTTAAAAGTGGCCTGAGAGGTTGAGAAGTACAGTGCTAGATCGTGCAAGCAATGTTGATGAGTACGGCTGAGGGGAGAAGAGCATGGATGGAAGTTGGCAGGGAACACTTGCTAAAATTGTTTGAAGCACAGCAGCTGCTAAATGCTCAACACCTTTTCTCAAGCAATGCTTTACTTTCCGGTTAAAACATGAATTAATTTAGTCTCAACTAGGCCAGCTCAATTACTTGTACGTCTCAGAGCTTGGCATTTAAAAATACTAGAGGCAGGGGTAGGCAACCTTGGCTCTTTTATGACTCGTGGACTTCAACTCCCAGAATTCCTGAGCCAGCATGGCTGGCTCAGGAATTCTGGGAGTTGAAGTCCACGAGTCATAAAAGAGCCAAGGTTGCCTACCCCTGTGGAAACCAGCTTAGTTTACATCAGCCTTGGTTAGCTTGGCATCTTCTGAATGCACTGGAACAGAAGCTTCCCTAACTCTTGAGTCGGTATTTTGTAGTCCAGTGCACCTGAGGGGCAAAGGTGGTTTAGATCTTAACCATGCAGGGCTAGAGTTTTTACACTTGTGAATGGTACTTTACACTTAAGAGCTTGGTACACGCTTTATCATGTATTCTCAGACTCGTTTCTATAAGTGGAGGAGGGCGGGTGCCAATTTGGGGCATGTTTTGTTTTTAAAATAAAATGTTTTTAAAAGAAAAAAAAAATGAAGCTCGTCTAAGTCAAGTTACCAAAATTACGCTGGAATTAAAGAATAAATAGATCGCTCCCGGAGTTATTCGACTGCATATATCAGCGATGGCGAACATTTTAAAGACCGAGTGCCCAAACTGCAACCCAAAACCTACTTATTTATCACTGGGTGCCAGGTGGGCATGGCCCACCTGGGTGGGCGTGGCTGTGGTGGTCATGGCAGATCGGGCGGGTGTGGCCAAGGTGGGCACGGTCACCTCAATGTTGCTCTGGGGAGGGACGCCTGTGGGGGGTGGGCAGGGTTGGGGGAGATCCAGGGGGTCTCTGGCAGGTGGGGCGGTAGGCAGGAGGCTCATCCTGCGGGGTGAGGCGAGGCAGGACGGGGGTGCCATTGCCATGGGGCAAGGCCAGGGCGGCTGCTGCCTGACACTATCGGCCCCCATACACACAGGCCAGCGAGCGCATGGGGGCCAACGGTGTCCGTCAGCAGCCACAGCCTCCCAGCCCCTCGACCGGCGCACTCTGGGATTCCGCAGCCCGCCGCCAGCATTCAAAGAAGCCGCCTCTGAGCTGGATGGCTGGCCGACAGCTGAGGAGGCGATGCAGTGGGTCGTGCCCAGGAAAAGGAGAGCATGCGAGGCCAGGAGGGACGGGATGAGACGGGGGGGGGGGGGGGGAAACCAGCCATGCCGGGATGCATCCGGCCACGTGGGACCTCGGCGAGTTAGCAGGCGGCTGGTTGAAGAGGGACAGTTGCCATCTCCGGGGCATGGCGCGCGTGCCCACAGAGAGGGCTCTGAGTGCCGCCTCCGGCACGCGTGCCATAGGTTCGCCACCACTGGCATATATCATGACTCCCCCAATAGGTATCCCTGCATTTAGAAAGGTAGTCCAACTTTTGCACGAACATCTTCAACATGCTCAGATTTTATTGTGTGTACAGGAAGATTCACCCCAGGGGACATGGAGCTGGAACAGCTCAACCTGGATTGGATGTCATCTCCTTTATCTGCTGCTGTTGTAGACATACTGAAAATATTTTATTGTTGATGGTTATGCTGCATCTGGGGTGTGAGGGTGGGATGCAAACTTACCCTAATCAGGGAAAAAAAAATATCCAGATCAGATTCCTAAGGAACTTTTCCTGATGCAGGCACCATAAAGGTAGGTGGTCTCTCCTAACAGATGCTTGCTGAAATAGCATCTTGGACCAGTTGAACTTTGACCTGCCCTGTTTAGTGAAAAGATGTTGTAGTAGAGCACAGGACATTCAGAATTTGTGGGTTCTGCTCTGCTGTTCAAAGTTTTTAGCCAATTACATCAGAGATTGTTCTTGATCTTGCCAGATCTTTCCTTGACTTCAACAGTTCCATATAATTTCCATTTAATGTTTCCCACAATTCAAATGCTAACTGAAAGATGAGAGAGAGAAGGAATAGGAATATTTCTCTTTACTTTGTCAGAACAAATTATCTGCATTTTCCAATTCTTAAGGCAGCTGTTTAGGGGAGCCCATGGTTATTGAAACCAGACAGTCTGATTACAGTCCAAAAGGTTAGAAGGGTTAGAATTGTTCATCTGTGGAATTAACGTTGCTCAGCTAATTTTAGGCCTAATAAATCAATCACCTTTTTACTGCATGGAGAAAAAATAGCAGTCGATCAACTGGAAGGATATCCAATCTTTTGCATATACAGTATTTTGAATCTATTAAAAACTGCACATAAAGAGTAAGCCTCATTCAAATTAGCAGAAAGCTGTCACATATAACTCAATACCTTAAAAGTAGTGTTATCTTGCATTTATTTAGGAATTCATTGAGACATAACAATTTGACCAGGGTTGCAGAAACTACCGCATTATCATATGTAAATGCAGGTTGTACACAGTTGATCTTGCTGATCTAGAGAGTTAACTGGATCTGAAACCACTGAAAAGTTTTTAGATGGTAGGGAAGCCTAAAAGGCATATAAGGAACGGCTGCTGGAATTGGGTAGGGGGGACATGATAGCAGTGTTCCAATATCTCAGCGGCTGCCACAAAGAAGAGGGAGTCAAGCCTGAAGGCAGGACAAGAAGCAATGGATGGAAGCTAATGAAGGAGAGAAGCAACCTAGAACTAAGGAGAAACTTCCTGGCAGTTAGAACAATTAACCAGTGGAACCA